CAAGTCTCACTCAGCTTATAGTCAACTGGAAAGTCGCTGATCTCCTGGACGCGGAAAGTGGCGTTGACCTCTCCACGATACGCATGTCGTATGCCAAATCGTCTGCCCCGAGTGTTACTTTGGTGCAGTATGCTTCATGCGCGAGTGCCCAGCGTGATAGCGGATACTGCACGCTCTCTGGGCTATCCTTAGAGGCAGGAACACGCTACATAGCCTACCTAGCGGCCACCAACCTCGTCGGCTTGACAGCCTCTAGCATCTCCAATGGCATAGTTCCTGACAACACTGCTCCCAGTGGCGGCAGATTGGGTATGAACGGATTGAGCTCGGTCAGCCACGATCCGCAGTATGCGTTTGTTCTGTCGGCAGCAGGACTGAGCCTGGACGCTACGCTGTCGGGCGTGTCGGATGCCGAGAGTGGACTTAAGACGTTTTCATATATACTGTGTGACCAGGACAGTGCACTGTGTACGGAAAGCGGACACACAGTGTTCTCTTGCTCATCACGGCTATGCGACATCAATCTAGAACACGCCGGTGATCGTCTAACCTCTCAGGGCAACTTCGTCAACAACCGCAAGTACGTGCTGACGGTGAAGGTAGAAAACAACGCCGGCCTCTCTAGTGATATTCGCTCTGAGCCATTCCTGGTTGACAGGCAGATTCCCAGTGCAGGCAGCGTGTATGATGGTACGGTTGTAGGCAGTGACATGGCCTATCAGAGCGCTACAGGGCAGGTCAGCGTGAACTGGGCTGGATTCAGTGATGCGGAGTCTGGCATCAGTGCATACGGCTTAGAGCTGCTCCGCGATGGCCAGCAAATTGCCACAGGTACCGTTGCAGCGAGCCAGTCGGCTTACATGTTCAGTGAAACTCTTCTCCATGGCTCGACATACGTATCGTGTGTTACTGCTCGAGATTATGGGAGCAATGTGAACAGAGTGTGTTCAAATGGTGTTCTTATTGATGCTGTGCCACCCACTGGAGGCAAAGTCAATGATATTGATCCTGCTGGTGCAAGCCTGGCTGACATCGACTACCAAGCCTTGCCAACAACCATCAAGGCTATGTGGAGTGGTTTCCAAGCACTGAGCGGCATACAGAGTTATAGCTGGTCCATCGGCACCACTGCAGGAAGTTCGGACACTTTGGCGCGGCTCTCGGTGGGCCTGCTGACAACCGCGAGCAAAAGCGGTCTCAGCCTCGCGTCCGGTCAGCAGTATTTTGTGAATGTCTGGTGCACGAGTCGTTCCGGTGTGACTTCCCTGGTCAGTTCTGACGGTGTGTTGGTGGACACTAGCGCACCCAACGCCGGAACAGTGCTGGATATTTGCACTGGCAACATCGTGCCGTGCACAAGCGGTGAGAATGACGACATCGACTTTTCGCCTGACAACGCGGAACTGCGAGCGAGCTGGTCTGGCTTCTCGGACGCGGAGAGCGGAATAGTGCGATACGAGTGGAACTACGCCGACTGCAGCAGCATGGTCGGCCTGCATGCCACCTACCGAGATGCAGCTCTCAACACACAGTTCCGGAGCTTGGTGAGCGGGTCGCTTGATTCCAATGTGCGCTACTGCGTTGTCGTGAGGAGCATTAACAATGCCGGTCTGTCAACGTCTGTCTGGACAGATGGTTATCTGGTGGACACAACCGCTCCTCAAACTTTCCAAGTAATGGACGGTCGCAGTGCGAGCGATGACATTGACCACCAGAAAGATGTGAGCATGCTGAATGCAGTCTGGCAGTCGCCCAATGATGGACAGAGTGACGTGGAGTATCAAACTAGTGTCGTCAAGCAAACCAGTGCCTTCCCTGCGGTGGACGTGACCGGCAAAGTACGACTATCCAAAGATGCCACCAGCCATACCTTCATGGAGCTCGGCCTCACCGATCTGGAGACGTACGCCGTGGAAGTGTGCGCCGTCAACCGTGCTGGCCTCGAACAGTGCTCGACGTCTGATGGTGTGCTGATCGACACGACTGCCCCGACGCAAGGTCTAGTCTTCACCGGCCTGACAACCGAGGGCAAACACTACCAGTCGTCTACCTCCAGCCTGCAGGCACGCTGGCACAGCTTTCTGGATCTGCATAGTGACATCGCTCACTTCTCCTGGTCTATCCTGTCCAGTAGCACCGGTGCAGTGGTCAGAGCCAAGGAGAATGTAGGCATGCGTACAGAGGCCAGTGCTACTGGTCTGCTCCTGAACAGCGGCGAGCAGTATGTTGTGGTGGTGGAGGCGGTCAACAATGCAGGTGGGGCCGTAGAAAGCCGGAGTGAAAAGATCACCATTGACAGCACTCCTCCAGTGAATGGCATGAAGCCTGTGCTCACGTTCGACGGCAACACGGCAAAGGTCGCCTGGCAGAGTTTCCGTGACGATGAGAGCTCAATCTGGTACTACAAGTGGTCGGTGGGAGTTGAGCCGTTTGGCAATCAAATCACTGGTTGCAACATGGCCAGCAACAGCACCACAATGGCTGAAATGCCTGGTGTGTACGTGACAGGCCAGGTGTACTATGCCACTGTTATAGCAAGAAATCGGGCTGGACTCTGGACCTACGAGAATCATGGCTCTGTGGCGGTTGTGTTCGACGCTACGGCTCCAGTGATGTCTGCTATCGCCATTGTTGACAAGCAGTCTCAAGGGGAGGTGACTGTCGCCTCACCAACGACACAGCTGCTTTGCAAGTGGACACCTCCCACTGATGCCGAGTCAGCCGTGTCTCGCTGTGAAGTGCGCATTGTTGGCAACACAACAGGAAATGTTGCCGACCGCAGCGATGTGGACGTCACCAGCACATCCTACGATGTTCCTGTCAGCATTCTCAGTGGTGGAGAGTCGGCGTACAAATGTGTTCTGCAATGCTGGAATGCTGAGAGCCTGTCTACATCAATCACCTCCGATCCTGTGGCGGTGGACAGCTCTCCCCCCACAGCTGGTCAACTAGATGTTATGGGTTTTTGGACTCACAAGACATACCTGGAGGTATCCTGGAGCCCCTGCACGGATGATCAGTCAGCAATCACCTCTTACGAGTGGGAAATTGTTGACTCTGCCAGCAGTGCTGTGTCAGCTACACAGGTGGAAAGTGGAAGCACTCTGAGCGGCAGAGTCGATGGAATCAGCTTGAGCCACGGTGAGCAGTATGCTGTACGCATGCGTTGTGCAAACGAGGCTGGTTTGACTTCTGAGTGGACATCGTCGCAGTTCACTGTGGATATGACGGCGCCAAGCGTGAGCACAGTCACGGCGTATATTCGAGCAATGCAGAATGCTGTACCCGAATCCAGTCCCACATATCAGCTGTCAGCAACATGGCGAGCAGCAGTCGACTCAGAAAGCGATGTCACCGGCTATAGGTGGTCCGTTGGCACAACTCCTGGAGGTTGCCAGCTAGCCGAGTATTCCTTGCCTCAAGTACAACTCACTGCTGCATGTGCTGGCTGCACGTTACGCAATGGAGAGACATACTATGTAACCGTGGCAGCCGTGAATGGTGCTGGTCTGACCGCCGACTCATCTTCACAACCAGTTACCATGGATACAACCGCACCTCGATCGGGACAAGTAGAAATACGGAGTGTGTCTGAAGCGAGTGGAGAGATCACGGCTCGTTGCCACTCCTTTGTAGACTATCAGACAAAGGTGGAGCGGTGCAAGTGGGTGCTTTCTGACCGGCAATCCACTCTGGCAACGGGAGCACTGACGTGCAGCTGTTCTGACTGCACATTCACAACCTCGCCGCTACCAACACTCGACAGAGCATCACTGCAAGCAGCCACGCAGACACCCATGCTGCAAGTCATGTGCGAGGATGTGAACAATCAATCATCCACTGCTCAGGCTCCGGTAGACTTGACGGCACCCAACGTCGGCCAGATCGCGTGCAAGGCCTTTGCCGCGAGTGCGTCACAGGTGACCGCAGTGGTCACCGGCCTCTCGGACTTCCAGTCACCTTCGGTACAGCTGCGGTGGAAAGTGTCCACCAGTGGCATGGCAGAGCAGGCGTGGAGGACTGATGGAGTGACTTCATCGTCACCCACACTGAAGGCAATGGGATTGAGTCTCCAGGAGCAACTAGACTACAGTCTGATCATCGAAGCAACGAATGCACAGGATTTGACTGTAACGACCAGCTGCTCGTTCCAATTGGATATGACGCCACCAACACAGGGCACGGTGAAGTTTGCTGCCGGCAGTCAATATGTATCCAGCCTGGAAGCACTGTCCATCGAGTGGAGTGACATTCAAGACCAGCAGAGCGGTATATCCAAATTCGAATGGTGTCTGTCCAGCCCAGGCCAGCTATCTAATCGCGTCATGTGCCAGGAGACTGCGGGCACAGTGAGCACAGCTCACTGCCGCACATGCCCCGTTGTTGCAGGCTCTCCGTACACCGTTCGCGTTGAGGCGGTAGACAACGCCGGCCTAAGCACAGTGACGACGTCCAATGCAGTCACTCTGGATACAAGCGTTCCCACAGCGGGGAGCGTGTATGAAGGCCAGCGCTCTGGCGATGATATCGACTATGTCAAGTCGACGAGCATGCTCGGCTTGCAGTTTGCCGGCTTTGCTGACACAGAGTCTGGCATAGACCGCTGCAGAGTAGATTTAGTTCAGACTCAAGAGCAGACTGTGGTCTGGACCAGCACAGTCACCAGCGACCAGAGCTCTCTCACCAGAGACAGTGCGGGGCTCCCCAGCGGCGTTTCTCTGACTACGCGTGTGACGTGCTGGAACAGAGCTGGTCTGAGTGTATCGAACACGTCGGATGGCATTGCAGTCGACTCGTCGGCACCAGCGTTCACTGCAGTGCGTCGCAACGTTGTATACACCGGTGCAGCGGGACAGGCGGACATTCAGATTTGGCTAGATGGCGTGGAGGATGGTGAGAGCGGCGTGGAATCAGCTAGTGTGCTCCTGATCAATGCAGCACAGGACCGGACGGTATACTCTATCAACCAAATGGATTTCTCCAGTTTCTTTACCATCTCAGAAGCCAATATGACCCAGGGCGATCGGTACTATATCAAGGTAACTATCCAAGATCGGGCTGGCTGGGTCACTGCAAGAAACTCCAGTGAATTTGTGTTTGATGCGACGCCAGCATCGCTAGGTTTTGTCAACGATGGCAGCGGCGAGGACATTGACTACACCAGTGATACCTCAACGGTCATGGCCAACTGGGATACGATTGCGGATGCTGACAGCAGTATATCACACTACGACTGGGCAGTAGGCACAACACCCGGTGGAACTCAGGTCTTGGCGTACACGCCCACGGGTAGTTCAACATCGGCATCGTGCTCTGCCCCGGCGTGCCTACTGGAAGCCGGACTGAAGTACTATGTCACGGTGCGCGCCACAAACGCTGCCAAGCTGCAGTCCTGGTTCAAGTCGGACGGCTTTGTCGTGGACAGTACACCACCGCTCGGCACCAGCATTTCAATCAACGGTGGCAGTTCAGTTGAATTCATCTCCTCTGGTCAGGTGTTGCAGGTGGATTGGTCAGATACGACCAAGGACTATGAGAGTCCCGTCAAGCAGTATTCAGCTTGTTTGAGTTCAATCCAAGATACGTGTAGTTCTGGTGCCATGCAACCACTGGGACTACTTACCAAAACCGACTTCACAGTTGAGCAGCTGGCCAGTGGGTCTCCGCTGTACGTTGTCGTGTGGTGCGAGAATGCGGCCGGCTTGGTGGAGAGAACGACCTCCTGGCAACTTACCGTTGACAACAGTCCACCGTCGGCTGGAGTTGTTACGGACGGCGAGACAAACGATGACATCGACTGCCAGCCAGTTGACCAGCCGATCACTGCATCCTGGCAGGGTTTCGTCGACGAGCAGAGCGGCATTAGGGCTTACCACTGGGCAATTGGCAGTAAGCCGCTCACTGACGATATCCAACCATGGACCAACGTACAGCTGCAGACTAGTGGAATGGCTATGTTGAATGGATCAAAAATTGGAGATGTGCTGTACTCGTCCATTAGGGCATACAACAAAGCTGAGCTATTCTCCCAAGCAGCATCTGACGGCATTCGTCTCCAGTCCACAACCGCAGACAATGTTGCTGAGTTCTGCATGGCACCCTGAGCTTGACGACATGTTTTGTTTTCTCAGAACACTTTAGAGCCCAGAACCATTCACCCCGTAATACTGATATTTGTGGGATGCATGTAAGTAGGTGCTAGGGCATAGGGTCCGCTGATACTCCACTTTGCCCGTGTACTAGTTTCTATTCACATTTGACCGTAACCAGTAACCACCGAATCCCAGTAGTATTGCAACATTCACTTCGGAACACGTTTAAAAATTGATGAGTTCAATTTCTTTCACTCTCTTGGCCCGCATTCCTATTGCTATGGCACAAATGGATAAATATCACTAGCTATTATATTCCCCGTGTTTAGGAAACAACGTTAGGATCATTTACACAAGTTTCATATTAGAACGGATTTTTCTGTCTTCTGTCACTGTAGAGGTTATGGAATTGCAGCATCATTACATCACCATTACATCATTGTTAGAGCTGCTTTGTACATGTATGTACTGGGCCATACAAAGGAGTGTTATGATGATGCCAGTTGCATAACTTCTACTAGTATACTATCTATAGGCAACTCTGCATGGTGATGCTCTTGTTCCAGCGTTGCAACCTCCTTCCCCCCCCCCCCCCCCCCGCACACACACCCACACATACCCCACCCCATCCCGTCTTGCATAATCGGCTGAGCAGGGCATGTGACAGTTGCCAGTACAAGGTGCCTGTACTGCCGGGGCTAGATCATAGATGTAGAAAAGCCATGCATGCAATAGTACGAGATGAGTCCGGCAACACAGGCTCTTCCCCATGCATGCAATAGTACGAGATGAGTCCGGCAACACAGGCTCTTCCCCATGCATGCAATAGTACGAGATGAGTCCGGCAACACCTCTTCCGGGCCCATTGCTTGCAACAGTACGAGATGAGTCCGGCAATACCTCTTCCGGGCCCATTGGTTGCAATAGTACGAGATGAGATGAGTCCGGCAACACCTCTTCCCCATGCATGCAATAGTACGAGATGAGCCCGGCAACACCTCTTCCCCATGTGGATCTACTGTTGAACGGTACCAGGGTGCCTGGAGCGGGCAAGATGAAGCTCCTTGGGGTTTTGTTCGTCTCCACGCTGCGATTCTCGACTCACATACGCCAGGTTGCCACCAGGGCCCTCCAAATGCCTCCATGATCCACTTCTCCGAAAGGTGGCGCCACTCCTGACAGCACCTGACCGTAGTAGTACAGTGTACAATGGCTTCATACCACCAACCATGGCATGGAGTACTGCTGCCTCAGTAGTAGATCTACATGGTCTGGATGGGGGCTCCACCGCCTGGAGGCGGCAGTACAGCGCAGGGCACTAAAGCTGATACAGTGATAGGCCCTGGAGTCTCCGTATCAAGCCTGCAGCCTGGAGCATAGGCGCAGGGTGGTGGCCCTGAGCTTCCTGTACAAGTTCTGCTTCCTCCCACCGACAAGCCCCTCGTCTTGAAAGCAGTTATGCCCAAACCTCTCCAGCTGGCGGATGAAACCCCCAACACACATCTCTCCGCCCAGCGATGCCAGTCACATGACTTCAAAGTTCCCTTGGCGTGCAGCCTGCCGCGGCGTTCCCGCTCAAACATGGCCAAGGCTTCCCCTGCTTGCGTGCTGAGCACATGGAACTCCCTGCCTCGAAGAATCCTCGCACAGCAGCCATACAAGGGCGGGATGCTGCGGTTCAAGAAGATGGTCCACCATTACCTGTTGACCAGCAACTGGATGCAAGCAACCGACGCCGCTTGTAAACCTGCCATATAAGTTTGCTGAACTACACGCTCTCATGTGCTTTCTCTCTCTCTCTATCTACCCCCCCCCCCCCCATTGCAGATTTGCTGTAACCTAATCAATAATTGGTAGAGAGTGCTGCATCAGTGATCCGTCTTCAAATAATTTTTCTATAATTACACTAGATGGAAGCAGGCATAAGGACTCAGACACCGAAACACAATCAATGCAAGACGGCTTGCAGAGTGTTTTAAAATGATCATTCAAAACTGCTGCCGAAGCTCAGACCGCAATGATCATTGTGTTTGTGGAGTACTGAGTACAATTAAGTTGCCATTTCTAGGCAAATGGACAAGCCAATCGCATTCTTGTTCTACCAGAGAAATGGCAAAAAGGACCGCCCCACCCAGGTCATAACAAAATATCTTTCTACTCCACCAGGTGCGTGCCCCGTATGGGTTCCTGGGTGCCCGGAACCCCCCTTTTTTCGCTCAAAATGCAGGATTTTGCTTCATTTTTTGAAATTTTTCCCGGGGAAGATCCCCCGGAAACCCCTTCAAGGGCACCGGCGCACGCGCCTGTCCACTATCTTAGAAACCGTCCTATCAGAATAATGAGAATGATCATTACTAGACAGTCACTTATAAATCATTTGTGAAGGTATAGAAGATACATGCTTGAGAAGCCCTTGTCTGAAGCATATTTTCTGAAGCTGGCAAAGTTTCATAATTCCATGGCAATGATATCAGCGGGAAGAAGCCGTGTTGTAGTTTGCGAATAGAGAAGATCTGTGCCTGGTCACTTAGGCTGCTGCTGTGCCATTCAACCAGTCTGTGATTTGCTTGATGTCAGCATCAGTACCCCACTTGGTAGGACCTGGCCCGTAGTACGCCTACAGGCAGAAAGAGGTGACAGCAGGAGAGGGTAAGTCCGGTGATAAGGAGTGAGCAACACAGTCCGAGATGACAACTGAGGATGCAATGTTGGATGCTGCATAGCAGTGGCACATGATGATGGGATGGTATGAACTGCACTCCATTCCTAATGAGATATTCCTAGTGACTTCAAAACTACTTCGAAGTAGCACAGCTGTACTCTTCTAGTACACTACACGCTATGGATATACTGCTCACAGTCCCGCCGGCAACTTGAAGGTACGTGTACTCTTACCGCTTTCTGCAGCATCTGTGGCCATTTCTCCTTGTGCAAGCCCATCCACTGGCGAAAGCGCTGTTTGTCCTGAGTCTTGACCTGCACACCAACACGTGCACAATTGCACATACACATGCACACACACACACACATACGCGCGCGCACACACACACACGCACACACACACACACACACACACACACACACACACACACACACACACACACACGTATACACACAAAGGACAAAAGAACCGCGCCATGAGGATCTGCGGGAAAGGTTTGTCTGAGACCCCGAAAACCTCTGCAACTGGAATGGATGAAACTTCAGCGTAGAGCTGCGCATTATGGCAGCTTTTGTGGATGCTCTGGTACCCACCAACTCTTCAAGCACCCATGGGATCCAAATGACTGCTACTGAGTTGTGAGTGTAGTCCGTTGTTGTTGTTCTTGAACCATATGCCGCCACATTCACTTCTTCGTGTGAAAGCCTGCACACACCGTTGTGTTACTTCAAAAACAAAAGAAAAAAAACTTGTCTGTTCTAAGGCTACAATGTTCCAGTATGACTATACAGTATGACTATACCTCTTGGTCAATTGTCTGGATGTCTCCCATCTTGGAAGCTAGTAGCTGCTGCATTTCCTTCACAACTGCCGGATTAGCGGCAGAAATATCATTGAGTTCTTCAGGATCCGCCTGTATTGGTAGAAACCAAAGCACACAAACAGCAATGACGCTAATTCTCTCAGCAAGCCGCTGCTCTACAATGTTCATCTCCTCCACAGTTTTAGACATTACACTGCACTAACCACCGACTACTGCTGAAATAGGACCACAGGGCTCTAAAAGAGCCTCCACCACTCATTGTTGGTAGAGCATCTATTCACACACCTGGTATTCAGTACTGTGACAGTAGCGGCCAGCAACAGATAGTGTAGACCTGTCCATGATAATGTACCAGGGAGTCGAAAAAACCCATATTTTACGACTCCCTGATATGTACCGAGCATCTTCATGCAGTCAACATATTCTGCCCACCTTCTACTTAAGAGCAATATGTCAAGCTTGAATAAATGGATCTGTTTCTGATGATTATGTCACTAGCTGTAGTTGTATGGCATATGGAGTTGAATGGCATATGGAGTTGAATTGCATGGACAATCTCCACACCATCTAACATGTAGTTGCGCACTGCACCTTCAAATCAAACAGCTGTGGCTTGTAGTCCTGAAACGGTGGTGTACGACCAAAATCAATCAGCTTCATGTTGTCCTTCTTCACCATGAAGTGTCCAGTGTTGGCCATCTGCAAATACATTACATCACAGAAAGCAAGCAATCAATCAATCAGTGAGCGCTTCACACCCAGGAACTGATCATGACCAGGGGCGTAGGAGGGGTTTTGGAAGTGGTACGACTGAAGGTCGGCGGGAAAATTGTGTAAAAAAGACACAAAATCCTGCGTTCTGGGACTGTGCAGTGTGCAGTCGAGTCGAGTACAGTACTCAGTACGACTGCAGATGCATAACACAGATCTACGAGTAGATATACGAGTCTAGAAAAAGGTCAAAGTCTGATGCCAAGAGTATGGACTCTTGCTTATGCACATATGCATCGATGAATCCTGATTTTTTTATTACGGTTTTGCACGTTCCGGACCGACCACACTTTTCGGAAAGTGGTACGGCCATGGTCGTACCAGTCGTAGCGGGTGCTACGCCCCTGATGACTGCAAAGTCCGGCACAACCGAATCCTCCTGAACACCATGGCAACCTAAATAACCTACTGGACTGTTTCCTCTTTTTGAAACAGCTCATCATAATATTTCATGATGCCTCAGTGCTCCGTTTACATTAATACCATTGTATGTGCACATAGCCAGAAGTGCTCAACTCCGGTTTAATTGAGCCTCCAACAATCTCAACAAACAGGATTGCAAATACTTCTCCACCTCCTCCTTCTCCTTCTGCTCCTCCCCCCCCCCCCCCGCCCTTATACCCGTGATCTTCAAGATGATGCCTCTCACAAGCCTCTCCTTGATTCTCCTACTAGTGCACACGACTATTGCAAAAATATAGACCACTAATGTCTTGTCTATGTCGTCCTTGATGCGTCTTAGTCACATTATCTCACATACCATACATATACACCAGGCATGCTTACATTGGAGTGGTACTCTCCGACGACGTAGTTTGGCTGCATCTTCTGCTGAGGTTCTGCATCAACAGGTCGCACAAGCAAAAGCCCGTGACATAATTATTCCATCGATGCAACCAATAGACCAATTTCCTGGAAGAGAGCATGACATATATAGGCCACCAAGTGCGATATCAACTGGCAGAAATCTGACCTGCATCAAAGAATGGTGTGATGTCTCTACCATCCAGACCATCCATGGAAAAGCCGTTGATACCGGCCCACTTCAGCATAGTCGGGTAGAGATCTATATTGGAAGTGGCATTACGAACCAGCAGATCCTGCAGGAAACAAAGTGCGAGAGGAGTGCAGAAAACCTTTTTTTAATAGCGGTGATCGCATCAGTACTATTTACTTAGAAAGACAGGATCTACACTACCACACCATACAATGCCTGGCTCAGTGGCAAGATTGACTTCGCAGAGATCTTCTATCCAGCTGTGTGTGCGAATGAGACACATTACGACCATACGGTGGCCAGGTCACGGTACAAGATCTGCGATGAAGTGTGCACCAGCAAAACTCAGTGAAAAGAAAGTCAGAGAAATTATTTAGCTACACCCTGCACCTCCAAATATTGAAGAAAGTGTTCACCCTTACATCATAATCAAGCCAGACCTTCGATTCACTGTTCTATTTCTTGTACACTCCACAAAGTTCTCTCTGCTGCCGTGCCAGAAAATGTTGTTGCAATGCACCCGTGTAGCATTGATTGCGATGTAGATTTTCCTTCACTCACCTTTGCAACCCCAACACCGGACATGAGAAGAGGCACTCGATTGTTTGCATCATACATTGAGTTCTTCCAGTTCTGTACAAGATTGGATATGAAGAAGAGCAGACTACACGCCATGGTGCACCATTGCCTATAGGTGTAGTTTGAGAAAAGCCATTGAATCCATGTGCTCCTGGGGACTTTCAAGCTGGCACCGTAGTCGTGTGCCCAAGAATGTACACTAAACTGAGTGCGGTGTTGGCCACTTTGCATAGGGATATTGGACAGGACAAGGACAAATGTTCAGAAATTGATTATTCTTGCTGACGGTGTTCACCAATGTCACTAACCTGCCTGTGTTCCATATTGCCTTCACCGTGATCCGATGTAAAGATGACATTTGTATCTTCCAAATCAACCAAATCAATGACACGGCCAAACATGGCGTCCGTTTCAGAGACCTGGAGTGCACACACACACACACACCAATGAAATCAGATCGCGTGTGTATCAAGTTTGCACCCTACGCCAGTTCACATCCCCCAGTGCTAACAGGTCTAGGGTGGCACAGCAGTCGACGTGACATTCACTCGCTCGGAGGGCTGGTTGCCTTTGTTCCAACAGCTTACCATTGCGTAATAGGCCCGGCGTACATTGAGTATATCATCATTACTGCATGAAACAAGGGCAATACACACACACTTGTATTTGTACTTGTTGCTCACTGCCAAAACTGGTCACGTGGGTCTCCCCGGGAGAGGGGAGAGAGACTCAAAAGGAATCTTGGAAAGATGACTCAATTGACTATTGAACCGCCCAACGACCGACACCCCCTGAAATCCCCAAAACTCTGGGTGGACTTGAAAATGATCCCACTTATGGGCTCACCACACCTCAGTAAGTGGGTGAGGACAAGGTGCAGAAAAAGGATTGACGGCATCAGGGTATCCGTCCAGGGATCCAACTGCAGTTACCCCTGCCCCCAGTGAAGGTAATACTTGCTACTAGTGTGGGTGCCACCCACCCACACACACACACCCCCCCCCCCCCCACACACACACACCGGCACACACACACACACACACACACACACACACACACACACACACACACACACACACACACACACACACACACACACACACACACACACACACACACACACACACACACACACACACACACACACACACACACACACACACACACACACACACACACACACACACACATGAGACAGGATCACTTTGCACATTAGTTAAGTAGCAGTTGAACCAAATTGCACCAAGTTGTGATTGTTTAGATAGATAGTGTTTGCGTTCGGATTTGATGAACTAGTGTTAAACATAACTATTCACAGGGCCGCCCAGAATTACCGTAACGTATACTTCGAAGGCAGTTTTCATCCGCCGCATGTGCATGCACATATGGCACTAGACCGATACAGCACACACTGCCATAGGGATTGAACGTGATGATGTTAGAAGTCAACAAATAATGACTCCTGGGTCAAATCGGATCCACTCTACCCATAGAAGTACGGCGCGTGGTGGGCTCCTTGTGTTGCATGCGGGTCACGGGGTGTGATTGTTTCTGTATCAGGAGTGGGGGCCCCGACCAAGAGGGCCCAGTCCAGGCACACCCGGCGGATGTGTACCTTACCGTGAAGGAAAACCACCCAAACAGGTATGGAGCCATATCAACCTGGATCCAAGTGGATCCAAAAGTCGACATTGTCATCACTCTGAGTTGGCTAGGACTAGAACTAGAACTTTCAAGCCCCCGTTTTTGTTTGATCTTAGCCACTCACCTGAAGGATTCCAAGCCATCATAGTACAATGCTTTAGACGCACTCTCGTACTGGTCAGCAGGGTGCCTGCAGGAAGAAGATGAGGAGGATGAGAACAGGGAGGACGAGGGAGGATGAGAACAACCAAGGAGGATGGGAGGGAGGAGGAGGAGGAGGATGGGAGAGAGGGGGGGGAAGAGGAGGAGGAGGACAAGGATGATAAGGGAGGATGGGAGAGGACGAGGAGGACAAGGATGATAAGGGAGGAGGGGAGAGGACGAGGAGGAGGACAAGAACGACATTGAGTTTCTTTTTGTTCTCCACCTGTTTTCCAGTAGGGCTGTGTCAATAGTAAAAAAAAAAAAAAAAAAAAAAAAAAAGGCGAAGAGGAGAACAAGGAGGACCAGAATTAGCAGCAGTGCAAATGAATGAATATGTAGCAATCTCTCCGGAAGTACACCCAGTTGATTGTATGCAGGTCAGTGAGTCTCTTTGTGTCAGAGAAACACACTCGGTTCAGGAATAAACACTTAGTCAAGTCTTACACATCATAATGCAGTAGCTGCTGTGTGTACATTTACAGCGATTAGCCATTACCAGTCATCTGTATGACTTGAGTAAAAGAAGGCCTGAGTGTGAACAAAGAAGGAATGGGTGATTCTGAAGGCTAAATTCACAATGCTTACATTTCTTCCCATGGAAGCCATTTCGGAACAGTCACTGCCGTTTCATTGACCATGGCCAACCAGGTGGCATTGGTTACATAGCTTGGATGAGGGATGCCCACACTACAGTAGAGGAAGTATGGTTCACTCTTCTGCAGATTGGGAATGTAAGATACAGCTATAATTATAACAATGTTATCACTGACAGAGCGGCCACATCTCTCACAAGAGTGCTGGTTCATCCTATCTCTAAAATCATCATATTGCTCACCAGACTGCAGGTACACTGCAGGTTCCAGGATATTTTTAGAACTACCAAAACTTGCAATAGACTATAGCTTATTCTAAAGTCATTCTGAGCTCAGTCATGCATCCTCTGATACTGGTTCAGATTAGTAGCCTCTTTGATGTTTGTTTGCATTGCGCATCAAAGTACTAGGAAATACACTGTGTGTATGATATAGAGGTCCCAGGATCGAGTTTTTACGTAGTTACAATGGTGGCCAGTCCCACATTAATAGATCTGGATCTATAAGACATGCACACCCACAGAAAAACATCATGATGCAAGGCTCACACATGCAGACATGGTGGAGATTGTGGATGTGCAAAAGGAAATTGGCATGCTAATGTTTTGACAGACCTTTGCTTCAGTAGATAGCCATTCAACACATTTCTCTATTGTCTTCCAGTCCGACTCCTTTGGTCTGTAGAAGGCACAATATAAAGGGAGGGGGGGGGGGGGGACTCGTCAGGTGACCACATACAATCGTGTTGTAATTCCATGCCAGGAAAGATGTACCCAGTGTGCTGCGAGTGCTTGGAGGTCATGAAGGCAGAGCGTACTTCAAAATAGTACAAACAATACAATACTGTCGGGCGCCGAAGAACGGACCACCGAAAAACGGCCAGGCTAGAATTCCACCAATTTTTAAGAACGGTATAGGCTGGATTTTTGCAGATGGGGGGGGGGGGAGGAGGGGTACGTACTCTTGGAACTACATACAGTTTTGAGCTGTTGCTGACTAGTGTTCTGGGATCCGGTTTCTGCGGGTGAGTGACATTGGCAGATCGCGTCCACGCAGTCAAAGCAGCACCTGCATCCTGACCATGGAATCCACCGCCCAAACCAGCGCCTACATCCACCTACAAAACAATCATCAAGGAACACACAACAGCGATCATGGCCTTGGTGTTTATTTATGCGCCATCAGTGTTCAGCGATGTACAATGATATAATGTACGTTCCAGTCCAAAATTCAACGTGACATTTATTCAAAGCCGCTGCGTACGCGTTCCTTGAGGATAATATTTTACTGCTCATTACACAAACACAAGTATGCATGAAGCGGAAGCATTTGTTTCTCCGAAAAAGTGCTGGCGCAATGGGTGGTATCATAGGTGTGTAAATGAAAGCATTGAAAGTATAGTTAGCATACAATCTTCCTGACACTTCCCTTTGTCCACTGTGGAATGCTGTGCTTGAGCACTGTCTAAAACCCATGCAGTCTGCATCTGTTTGTTCATGCACTGCTGTATTGCCTCTGAAGAACTGGGTCCGCTATCTCTGCCGTGTGCGGCTTACACATCATACTGCAGTGTGACACACAACTACAGATATTCTAACTGTTATCATTGTCATCACAGTGGCTGCAAGCACTGAGCGGGTTCAAAATAAAGTCAAATGGGTAGAAGCCACTACCTTGCCAATGAGGTTCACTGTGTATCCATGCTCCTCTAGGATAGAATCTGCGAATGAAGAAAGTGCAATAAATGATCACAACTTCTAAGGCAACACTAACACATTACAAACAAACAAAAAATTGTTGTGGGATACGATCTTGCTTTAACTGTTAGTCCGCAATTTGGCTCTGCTATGCCTGGCAAATATACAGATGTTACTACCACTTCCTGCTGGTGGACATGCAAACATGCCATGATTCTGACCAGTAATTATTGCTAGCCATAGATGTTTGATATGGGACTTGTACAACTTACCTGGTATAATATAATTTGAAAAATTGAAGAGGAAAGATTGACACAGAGAACTCCACATCATCATCAAAGGAAGTGGTCTCTTTCCTGCAAATATCCATTGTCTAAATCAAATTTTCGGCCAGAAGCCATCATCAGGATTGAGAAGAAACTAGTGAGGGCGACCAATATCATACACCACAATGTGGAATGAAACTACGCCATGTGCGATAAAGTACACCATCGTTGAGGCACAGACACACACACACACACACACACACACACACACATACACACACTCTCTCTCTCTCACACACACTCTCTCACATGCACACTTCCAGTACATACACACACACACACACACACCACACCACACACCACACACCACACACCACACACACACACACACACACACACACACACACACACACACACACACACACACACACACACACACACACACACACACACACACACACAAACACACACACACACACACACGCGCACACACACACACACACACACACACACACACACACATACACATACACACACACACACACTTACACACAGAGATTCACTAAGCTGCAATTGTGCTAAAATGGTGTGCTGAACAATGAAGATTGAGTCTGGGAAAGTGTAGTGCTAGTATCATTGTACTTCCAGGTACGAGGTTTCAAGTCTGATTCCTACTGCAAACATGGTTTTTTTTTTAAATCGGACACTATATTGACGCTATAGAATTGTTCTCGGATCTACGTTCGAATGTTGACCAAAGCAGCATGGAAGAAATGATTGTTTCAAAAATGTATGCTGCTTACCAAAAGTATTCCAGTATTTATTTGTTCCCTGATCTGTACACTTGTCAGGATCTGTGTCACTCCATGTCTTACATAGTCCTTGCTGAGATACAGCAACACACGCATACACACACACGTACACACACATGCACACGTACACACACACATGCACACGTACACACACATGCACACACACACACACACACACACACACACACACACACACACACACACACACACACACACACACACACACACACACACACATACGTTACATATCATCATCAGTACGCGGAACACTATTCGTGATACACCAGGGAGGGCAGAACCGGTCCGCGGGTTGGTCGGGCCACAGCTGGACCACATTTCTGCCCATCAACACGACGTGTTTACTGCTGAGGAGGTCATGTGTGGCCACCATAGCATACACAACGTATGAAAGGCTATGGTAAGGCTGGATCAATCAAAAACTGCTTCCGCCGATCTCGTATACATGCTTGAATCATTCATTGAACATGGTTCAAGCATGTCAGTGCATTACGGAATGGCTCGGCCGGTGTTACTCACTCACCCCATTATTCCATGCCTTTGTCTTGTGTGGAAACCGTCCACTGAACATTGCCGCGCGACTCGGCACGCACTGGGGACTCGGGCAGTAGTTGTTGACAAAGTTCACGCCGTTCTTCGCCAGCTTGTCGAACGTAGGTGTGGCCATGGCTTGCGATATCGGCGATGTCGGGTCCACAACACGGCCATCCTGTGAGGCACAGACGGTCACAAAACCATGCATGTCCTCAGCCACCCACCTCTTCTCAGCACTGCACTCTACACATGCAGTATATCATGACACTGACTGTACTTGTGGTATCATTCATTCCCATTCTGCTCCTTTTGAATGAACGGTCACTACGACTACAAACGAGTGTAATGTAGCTCCAAGTTCTGTGTCCGGTTGATCATAATTTTTCTATAGTATCCAATTTGTTTGAAGCAATCCACAAGGAACTACTAGTAAAATATTGCTTTAGTAGGCGAAGGATTACTGACTTGGCAACGACCTGTTGCATGCATATTTTATGCGCAGACAGCCACCACCTACCATGGAGTCGCAAATGAGAAAGACGAAATTCGGTAGTTTCGCTGCCATCGCTAGCTCACTCGCTAACAGCATCGTCACGATATACCCAAGCAACGGCGCCATTCTGACAGACAGTGTACGTCTGCTAGAAGCAAGTTTCTCTAGCCTACTTGTAGGGTCTGAAATCCAAGAACTGCGGTCGATTCTTCTTCCTCTATTCGTCTGCATCTGCTCCCTAAAAAATAGTTGTCGCGAAAGAAATCCGACCTCACTCTACATTCTGCAGCAGAGCACGAAGTCGGATATTTGGAGACACCTGTAGACCATGGTAGACTGTAGTAGATCTACTGCTGCATGTTTGAGCACAGATCATTGACGAAGCAGCTCAATGATCTGAATCATGTGTGCAGCAGCTGAGTAGATCTACTGGGGAGAGACTCCAGATTTCCGATTTTATTCAGCGTTGTTCTTTGGCATACTGTGGCCGGAAGTCAGCTAATGTAAAACTAACTTGAGAGTGATATTAAACCAGAGAATACTCTCATCCACACACAAGTGTGGCACTCGGTCAAACATATGGACCCGGCGCTGATGCGTGTACGCAAAATGAAGTGACCATTATGTGTGTGCTGAAAGACTACTTGACAAATCGTCACTCGTTCAGGAGTGGGTGGGTGGGTGGGGGGTGGGGGGTGGTCTGCTATTACTACTACAAGCAATTTGGATTGATGTGGTATTCTTGCCACAAGAGTAGATTCCCCCCCCCCCCCCCCCTCCTCCGTCCGGGCCTAATATTTGAACTCAGCCCACACTGATTATTGTAGTTACCATGGTTACTACATTGCTCATAGATGTGCAAACTGACTGTGCGTTTAACTCCTTTCTGAATTACATGACTGTATTGTATACCATATTTGCTTGCAAGTTCTGCTGATATTCACTGCATCACATTATTATAAGTGCTGGTATGTTTCCTTCCCCAGGGTATGATGAACTTGGCATGCAAGAGCAAGCGGAAAAGCGCAAGTTGAGCATGCCTGGATTATCCGGGCCACTGTAGCCATGTAGCTGTGTATAGGCATACCTTTGACCTTTGACCTTTGACGCCCCATCTCCAGTGGAGATGATAGGCTATTGAGTTGGGCAGTACTTGAGGTGACGCTTCAAATCACCACTTCTCCTAAACGCTCTGCCGCATGCGCAGTGAAAGTCCTTCGGTGCCCGGGAGAGGAAGACGATGTTGATAGGCATACAACAGCCTGCACAAGGCGCCTACACGTACATTTAGGCTATCTCCCAGCTCAGTGGCCATGCATACATATAGTATGTCCTTCCTGTGCTGATGCCACGCTGCAGCACGGATTGCAGTCCTTGAGAGTAGGAGCTTTGCTTGTCGGAGCGATGATCATAAGTACATGGTATCGTACAGTATAAGAACTCAGTGGTGTGACAATGACTGAGTTCTCTGGGCTCTGCACCAAAGTGCTGCCCTCTGAAATGTGGTCAAATAAACTGCGGAAATGACTTCAAAAAGAGTGTCAGAATAATTATGTCCCTAGTGGAGCTATAACTAGTATAAGATACTCTACTACATGTACATACAAGTGAAAAACTTTTCATGAAACTGAATATTTCCAGTAAAGTTGGGGGGGGGTGACTTGTTCTCATGACTACACGGGGATAATATCAGCAGGCAGAAGTCATGTTGTAGTTTGCTAATAGAGATAGCCTGTGTGCCGTCGTCTATGCTGTTGTAGTACCATTCAACCAGTCTGTGATTTGCTTGATGTCAGCATCAGTACCCCACTTGGTAGGACCTGGCCCGTAGTACGCCTACAGGCAGAAAGAGGTGACAGAAGAAGAAGACGGCTAGTGATCGAGTAAGGAGCATGCAAACAGTAGCATCACTACCAGGGTGAATGCAATGTCAGAATGAGATGGTGCAACACGGGTGCATGTGAGATCATATGAATCACATTCCATAGCTTCAGCACACCGTATGGCACTCACAGTCCCAAGAAGGTGCTCTTACCGCTTTCTGCAGCATCTGTGGCCAATTCTCCTTGTGCAAGCCCATCCACTGGCGAAAGCGCTGTTTGTCCTGAGTCTTGACCTGCACACCAACAACAATAGAACACACACACACACACACACACACACACACACACACAGCTGAGCAGGTCTGTCTACCGGACAATTTTTCGAATTGTTAATGCCAAACAAAGACGGAATGGAATTCTTTGGCACGACACGCCCATACCTCTTGGTCAATTGCCTGAATATCTCCCATCCTGGTAGTCAGTAGCTGCTGCATTTCTTTCACCATTGACGGATTAGCGGCGGAAATGTCATTGAGCTCTTCAGGATCAGCCTGCATTGGTGGAAACCAAAAGCGCAAAAGCAACGCTGGCCTTATTTCACTCAGGCAGCCCTGCACTACAGTTGTCCACAATTGTTCAGACATCACACACCCATTGACTATACCTCTGGAGCAGGAGTAGGGTGCTCTAGGAGTTCAGCAACCATGCATGGTGAGTTGTCACCCAGAGTATCTATCCGCATGCCTGTGAAAGTCACATGATGCCGGCAACAGAAAAGGTATGCCTTAAAAAAAGCATGTTGCAGTCAACACTTGTAGTTCCACACTGCACCTTCAAATCAAACAGCTGTGGCTTGTAGTCCTGAAACGGTGGTGTACGACCAAAATCAATCAGCTTCATGTTGTCCTTCTTCACCATGAAGTGGCCAGTGTTGGCCATCTGCAAATACATTACGTCACAGAAAGCAATCAATCAATCAGTGAGCGCTTCACACCCAGGAACTGATCACGGCTGCAAAGTCGACAGCGGCAAAGTCCGTCACACCCATACCCGAAGCCTTCTGAACACCATGGCAACATAATGTACTCTGGTAAAATAGATCACGGTCTGCGTGCAGACTCGGTTAGACCAAGTTTTCCGCATCCGTAGGAACGCCACCGCTCTCAATGATCAAAGCGCAGGTGCAGCTCCAAAAGCGGTGGGAGGTTATAGATCAGACCCACCATTAAAGTGGTCAAAGACCGAAAATCTCATTTGTTGTATGCCCTGGTAAACAGTAGCTATACTTATCAAAGTGTCTTACAAGCGCTTTCCTTAGACTAGTGCGCCGAACGGATATGCGCAGGGCACGGTTGTACACGCGTGGCGGTATTGACAGAGAGCCAGGAATGTTTACTCCCTGCTTTCCATCTCCAATAGCCTCAACAAACGGGGTTTCAAATGTCCCCTCGCCCACGGATAGAACAGCTGATGATATCCCTCGCAGGCCTCTCATTGATTCGCCTATACCTGTTTACTGTTGTTCATGTTACTTACATCACATACATGTATCTACCCATAACAAATCTTACACACCCAACACATCGTATGTATCCCGGCCTGATCAGGATTTGCCATGAATCAGCGACTTGCTACATGCACTTAGCTGTAGGCTTTGCCCTTGACATGTGCATCTAACTTGACCTACCCTACATGAACATGATATGTATACACAGGTCATCCTTACATTGGAGTGTTGATGTGTCTTACTCGCATACCATACATATACACAGGGCATACTTACCAGGGGCGTAGCACCCGCTACGACTGGTACGACCATGGCCGTACCTCTTTTCAAAAAGTGTGGTCCGTCCGGAACGTGCAAAACCGTAATAATAAAAAATCAGGATCCATCGATGCTATATGCGCATCAGACATTGACCTTTTTCTAGACTCGTACTCGTAGATCTGCCATGCATCTGCAGTCGTACTGAGTACTGTATTCGACTTGACTGCACACTGCACAGTCAGTGGGCCAGAAGTTCCCAGAACGCAGGATTTTGTGTCTTTTTTACAAATTTTTCCTGGGGGAGGTCCCCTGGACCCCCTCCAACAGGGCCGTTAGCCGCGCCGACCTTTGGTCGTACCACTTCCAAAACCCCTCCTACGCCCCTGCTTACATTGGAGTGGTATTCTCCCACGATGTAGTTTGGCTGCATCTTCTGCTGAGGTTCTGCATCAACAAGTCGCACAAGCACAAAAGCACAGGGTGTTGGCTATCGGTACAAAGAACAGACCTATCTCCTCGGGAAGCCAATAATGCATACAGTCAACTTTGCATATAACGACACTCGGTGGGGCATCAGAAAAGTGTCCTTTTTCGCGAAGTGTCGTTATACCCGAACTGTCTCATTATACGTATTACAGTTAGCTGGGACTTTGCTCTGGGCCGCATGGAAATTCTGTCGTTATTCGCAAATTGTCGTTATATCCGCAGTCGTTCTTAGCGAAGTTGACTGTACTTGTAGATAGGTCACCAAGTGCAATATCAACTGGCAGAAATCTGACCTGCAGCAAAAAATGGTGTGATGTCTCTACCATCCAGACCATCCATGGAAAAGTCGTTGATACCGGCCCACTTCAGCATAGTCGGGTAAAGATCAATATTAGAAGTGGCGTTATGAACCATCAAATCCTGCAAGAAACAACATGCAAGCGGAGCGCATAAAACATTTTGTTTTAAACAGTGATTATAGGTGAAGGGAGAGTAATTGATTTGGCAGAGGTATTCCATCTGTGTGTGCATGATGCAATCACTGAAGCACAGCAGTGATTAGGTGCAAGAGTACTTGTATTATCTACAAGGAAGCATGTGCTGTAGTACGTTATTTAGTGTGACGTTGTGTGCACGCCACGTTGGTGCATGCGAGTGTTGCTGTGGTATGAAAAGCAGCCTTCGTCTTGAGTTCGTCATGTCTAGTTGTGTTTCTTCGTCGTCTTGTAATAAACAGTCTTTCTGAATGTAGTTATCGTCGTCCATTGTATACGTGCGGAGATGACACGAGAATGGGAGCAGGTGGAGAAAAGGCAGTTACAACACATGCACTAGCCAAACTCTGAATGGGAGGCAGAGAAATAGCTTAGCTTCACGTGGCCCTGGTGAAGAACACATTTGGGTACTTGACAGTGGATGTCATCTGAGTTTTAGACATGGGAGTCAGGAAAGTACTCAGTGATGCTGTCATGGAAAGTCATCATAGCAAGTACATCGCTCACTTCTAAACACTTACCTGTGTCACTCCAACACCAGACATGAGCAGAGGCACTCGATTGTTGGCATCATACATGGAGTTCTTCCAGTTCTGTACAAGATAAGAATGAAACGGAGGGTATGTAGTGGCGTTAGTAAAATGTCAGCGCTCACCAGTGCTCTTGGTGCATACATGTAGGTTTAAAGAATGGTTGTGTTGATCTCTATACGTTCACCGGGATTGCATGGCAGTGCTCACCTCGCATCCACTCACACACATAAGAATGAACCGAGTACTAAGTTACACTTATAGCACGCTGTCCGGTGCACATCGGTTGGTCTAACTATTGATTGGGAAAAAAGGAGTTCAAAGACTGATTTACAGACACCGGCTTTCCTTTATTCTGTTGGGAAAAGCTACTAACCTGCCTGTGTTCCATATTGCCTTCACCGTGATCCGATGTAAAGATGACATTTGTATCTTCCAAATCAACCAGATCAATGACACGGCCAAACATGGCATCCGTTTCGGACACCTAGGTTACAGTACATTAGTGGATAACATAGCAATAACAGCATTGAGCCGCATAGGCACAAGTAACTCGGATGCTGAGCCAAAATTATTGAAGAGAAAAGATGCGAGTTTTGAGTGACAATCCACCAATTGAACCAGATAATGAACCGTCAGAAAGTGTGACAACTAAAGATAGGTTGCTTCATTTCATGTCCCTTACCATTGCGTAATAGGCCCGGCGTACATTGAGAATATCATCATTACTGCATGAAACACAGGCACGTGTCATACTCTCTTACACATTGTATCGTGCACTCACACATTTGTGTCATAGTGGCAGCTAAATGCAACCGTACTTCTTCATAGTTCGTATTCATACGTGGCAAACATGTTCTCTTAGCCAGTCTCAACTCTCAGGCCAGAGGTGGAATTATTGAACACATGAAAGCCAAATCACAGTACAGTAAAACCCGGTTTAAGCGACCACCACACGGTACCACGGTGCAAGCAAAGGCGGTCGTTAAAGCCAGGTGGTCTTTAGAACCAGGTCCCACAGTGTCTGTGCAGAACTGTCGGTGCATGGCAAGACGGTCTTTAAGAGCAGGTGGTCGCTAAACCCAGAGGTCGCTTAGTTACACCAGATTTTACTGTATACGAATATACGGGCAATGTGTCACATTTGAATTCCCTGCAGGCACACACACATTACTATAATAGTCTTGTAGACTACAGTAATCCCATGGTCATCAACACTAACTAGTTTCGCACATCTTGTCATCTTGTCATTCGGATCTTCCCAAATTGTACATTGTACTGTTGAGATACCGAATTCAAATAAATCAATACAGTCGTCCCTCTCTAATCCGGCACTATATAATCCAGCACCCTCGATAAACCGGCACAATTTTCAGTAGCCAAATGTCCTCTTCATGCACATTGCAGCAGTAGATCAGATTTGTTAATCCAGCACCCTCCCTAATCCAGCAGATTTTCGTGGCACAAATGGTGCCGGATTATAGAGGGACCACTGTACCAATACCAATCTTGTTGGTTCAAGTTGATCCTGCGGCTGCCGGGCTACACACCTGAAGGGTTCCAGTCCATCGTAGTACAAAGCTTTAGACGCACTCTCATACTGGTCAGCTGGGTGCCTGCATCAAATCAGCAGCAGCAGCAGGAGAAGTACAAGCAGGAGGAGAAACAGAAGAGGTAAGGATAGGAGGAAGAATAGGAGAAGGAGGAGGAAGAGGAGGAGTAAGGAGTGTAATTTGCACCAAAAATCGGGTGGGTAAAAATCGTCTCGACTGCTTTTTTTAGGCAAGAAAGAGGAAGAGGAGAGTGGGAGGAGGAGGAGTTTTCTCAGTCTATTGCTGACCGTGAAGTACAAGGAAAACAATGTAGCTGTATGTACTATTCGACAACAGCAAAAGTAACACTAGTAGTTCCATCATAGGCTTCCGGCCGCCAGGGATTATACGAACAATACGGTTACCAACCATTCCACAAAATGTTGAACAGCATGCAACCCAGTACAGTACCATGGCAATCATCGGATGTGTGCATTGCAGAAACATAGCCATATACATGTCACATAGGAAGACATTTTTATGAACTTTGAGAAGACAAAGGCCTACAGTGTAGGTGGGAGCAAACAAAGAAGTGGCGCAGGGCAAATGGGCAATGCTTACATTTCTTCCCATGGAAGCCATTTCGGCACAGTCACTGCTGTTTCATTGACCATGGCCAACCAGGTTGCATTGGTTTGATAATTTGGATGAGGGATGTTTACACTGCAGTATAGGAAGTACGGTTCGCTCTTCTGCAAAGGAATGGAAGACAACGCGTCCGGGCACTATCTCTGAGGCAGTCATAAATTGTGTGTGCAAGATTGCACGCATATTCCTGTTACATAACACATTATCATAACACTGCCGAGGCTGGAATTCTTTACAACAGAAGCGAGTTTGAACCGGTATTGCTTTGAAACCCAGAGTGCGTGTGTTGTATAGCACAGATCAATCTGAGCTTAGAGGATAATGTGCTATGATAGCCAAAGTGATCCGCGGCTGGATCTACAGGAGCAGACGCATGGCATAACTAACACTAGCAGCTTCAACTTCTTGAATGACATTATTATCGGCTAACTGCAATACACCTTCTCAGTCTAGAATGAAGGTTGATCATGTTTACCGGCCTAGCCTGTGATTTACTCATATGTATAGGTGCTCGCAAGGTGCGGTGCACTGCACAGACCTTTGCTTCAGTAGATAGCCACTCCACGCACTTTTCAATTGTCTTCCAGTCTCCCTCCTTTGGTCTGTACAAGGCACATGATCATGGAGGACATACAGTAATCAGTATCTGAGCCCCCCCCCCCCCCCCCGTCCCACGGCCCCAACACATACACATGAACGGGCAATTTCAGTCAGTAAACAACAATGATGTGTTCAATCACAATAAGTTAGACTGGATGCTGTTTAATCGCCAGCACTACGGTTAGCTCTCGGCTAAACGAAGTCCCCTCACACTTCCAGAACACAGGGGTCTTGTAGTATTGAATAATTATATGGACGAAGTATCTAGACAAGAGAGTAGACAAGAACGAAGACACAACACAACACTAGAGAACCACATTCAGCTAATGTGTGCAGATGGGGTGCTCTTGGCTACGTACAATTTTGAGCTGTTGCTGACTAGGTTTCTCGGATCCTGTTTCTGCGGGTGAGTGATGTTGGCACCTCGCGTCCAGGCAGTCAGAGCAGCATAGGCATCCTCACCGTGGAATCCACCGCCCAAACCAGCACCTACATCCACCTGGGAATGTCAAAGAAACACTTACCGTGATAACGCACATAATAAGCACATGCGCTTATAAGTGAATTTTTGCTACGAATCCAATTTTCAAAAAGGAAATATTTTCACCTAAACGCGCGCATGCGCGATCAGAGTTCGTTTGCCAGAGTCTTTGTGTTTGACTAGGTCCTGAAGTGTCAGTTTCATGGTTCCTGTATGCTGTTTGCAGACTTTTATCCGTGATTGTGTGAAAGTGATAATTTTGGTAGTGCTTCGCCCCGCCTATAAGAGCATGCGCTTATAAGTGAGAGTGCGCTTATATCCGATTACAGGCACATGCGCCTATAATATATGCGTTACTACGGTAACAACTACCCAATATCACAACCTGTACACATCCAATTATACTTCATGATCCGCACTGTCGGAAAAGCGTCTCTCTAGAAAGATCAGCCACGAGTTAATGTTTCATTTCGGCCATATCCATAGTCATCCCAATGGAAGGGAGCAGCACCGAGCTGCTTGAAAGCTCTACTTTGTAATGCATTCTGCCTTTTGCACAAACAAACCTTATGTTACCTAGGTACGAGTACAGTGGAGATTGGATATAGCGACCTTGGGTATAACGACAAATCGAGTTTAGCCACACAATTCTGTTGCCCAAGTCGTTTAGCAAGTCCTTTCTGTACATGATCGGGTATAACGACCTCGAAAGTAACGACAGATCGAATTTACTGACAATTTTTGGTGCCCGGAGACGAGAAAAACAGTGAAAATACATCGGACAGAACGACTTTCCTCTTGTATCCGGCAGTCTGGCATGTTTGGAACATGGTATATGGCTGTGCCACGTGCCCGGACCCCCGGGTCACTCAATTATGTGTCCTTTACTGTAAAAGAAGAAATTTTCAGTGGTGTTTTATTTTCGGTAACTTCGGTGCCGAAAATTTTTACCGAAAATAAAACGCACCGAAAATTTTACGTTCTACTCAGTAGTACTAGTACACTTACCTGGAAAGCGGGTATTACTGAAAATTTCCCTCCACCGAACCGCCGATTTTGGACAATACCGAAAATATTACTCCACCGAAAATGTCTGCTTTTACTTATAATATTATTATCCACATGTACATGTATATCTACAATACATTTCTGTCATTTTGATATACATATAATATGTGTACAGTCACCTACCTGTGCATATATTTGGCATAGTGCATCCATATGTAATTTGACCCCGCTTCCTATTTCACACCTTGGCGTACGCACATGCACCTCGCATGCACCAGCGGTAACTGTTGCGTGCCTGTGCTGTTTACATGCCTACTCTGTTCCCTGTGTTCTCCACTTCTCCTTCTGTCTTCATCAAGTATAGTTTGTAATTCCTACCGGAGTGTGATGGTTGTGTTGGACTGAGAGAGTGTGCATGGGCATTTACCCTTAGTGCTGTTGCAGTAACGCAACACTTGGTGTCAGAACTGGTACCCCGAACCCTCGCCACTGGACCCGCTCGCCATGGCGAAATTTCAGCCCCCTGAAAGCTTCGACTTTTCCGCACCTGAGAATTGGCCCCGCTGGAAAAGCCGATTCACACGCTTCCAGATTGCTACCAAACTCTCTTGTATATCAAAATGATATTATTGCATACTAAATGCGAAGATCGGGTTTAGTGACAGATCGAATATAGCGACATTTTGCATTCTCTCGAAGGAGTGTCGTTATATCCAATCTCCACTGTACAGGGAGGACGTGTTCATTGGCCATTGCACCTGAACAAAAGGGCATTTCTCTCCAGCCACTGTGGAATGCACCACTAGTGAACACAGTCTAGGATTACGCTGCATATGCGCTACTCCGTAGCAGGTATATCAGTGCATGTACATCAGCATGTACATGACATTGTAATTTGTATAGCACAGTGTACGTGTACTTCAACTAGAAAGTTGTGTGCATCTCTGGTGAGTCTGGGCTTATCCAGCAATCACAGCGTGACCCGCGCCCAAACTACAGATCCTCTCTCATAATGGCTGTGCACTGTGGCCCCATGCACCGGTTTAAATAATAGGTTGAAGAGACATTACCTTGCCAATAAGGTTGACAGTATAACCGTGCTTCTCCAGGATGGAATCTACAAGTACAGAGAACACGAGTTCAGGTCACAACGTAAAGTGAAGCCGGGAAGGGAAAGGTAAAGGACCTAAGCATAGGCGATGACAAGCATTCCCAATGTTGCCTTCGCAGCTGGAAAACTGACCCCTCTTCAAGTCTATTTCCAGAAAGATATTCCACAGTTGACAACTTCCTCTGGCCAGTGATATGTACTGCAAAGTAGCGGGTTGCAGTGTAGTGCTAAGCGCTCATCTGCTTTCCGAGCATAAGTTTAATTTTTAGATCCTCATTGCGTCCGCAGAACAGGGCCGACAGGTACTGCATTAGAGATTTGCCGTGGAACCGGAGTTCATTGGAAGAAGTTGTTGGAAATTTAAAAGAGAAAATAGACTTTCACTCAGAACTTGGCGACGGACTCGGCCATTTGAAAATAATTTGAAACTTTCCACCTCTCCACACTGCGCTCTTGGCCCACATTCACCACACCCTAGTGAGGAAGTAAGTTCGTTCTTGGATAGATGTTCCATATCCTCCAGACAGCTGTTTCGCTCGATATGGTGCGGTGAATGTGGGCCAAGAGCGCAGTGTGGAGAGATGGACAGTTTTAATAGTCTTTCAATTTGAGTATGGTGTGTGTAGGGTTTTCATGTCTTTCAAATGGTAAAATTTTATATGTATGCTGTTAGTGGGTTGGCCTCTGACTGCAGTACTGCAGTGGTCGAGAGGTTCCAGTGGTCTGTCCCAGGACAAGGAGCAGATAACGTCGTTTGGAAATACATGTAAAACTAATCCTGTCTCTCTCTCTCTCTCTCTCTCTCTCTCTCTCTCTCTCTCTCTCTCTCTCTCTCTCTCTCTCTCTCTCTCTCTCTCTCTCTCTCTCTGAAGGCCTAGAGCAAGGTTAGCTTGCCCGTACGGGCATGCAGCTCTCTGTGCTGCCGCAGAATAAGGGGCAAACAAGCTGGCAGGCTGGGCTACAACACATCTATGAAGCTTAATACTATGACGATACTGGTATGCTGCTTACCAAACGTATTCCAGTATTTATTTGTGCCCTGATCTGTACACTTGTCAGGATCTGTGTCACTCCATGTCTTACATAGTCCTTGCTGAGATACAGCAACACATGCACACGCACACGTACACACATACACACACACACAGACACACACACACACACACACACACACACACACACACACACACACACACACACACACACATACAACAACAAAATGACCGTGATGAACATTTATGATGCTGTCAGTCACTTCTGCACTGCACTGTATGGTCTGAGTATGAAGAGGAAAAGGTCCTTGTCACAGGACTGCATTGGTCTCGTCCTAAGAGCCGCAGGAAAAACTTGCATTGGAAACCATTCTCTCGGTCCTGTTTGAATGAAGTTGTTCATAGCATTTTCCAGTTTATGTTACCGGCATGCTTCTTACAAAATAGTGCATGCTTCTTGACTGAAATTTGAAGATTTCTCACGATTATTGGACAGGTGGCATTACTTGAAGAAGAACAACTCTCCGGGCCATATTGAGCAAGCAAGTGAAAACAGATTCAAAACAGATTCGTAGTTACCCCGTTGCTCCACGCCTTTGTCTTGTGTGGAAACCGTCCACTGAACATTGCCGCACGACTCGGCACGCACTGGGGACTCGGACAGTAGTTGTTGACAAAGTTCACGCCGTTCTTCGCCAGCTTGTCGAACGTAGGTGTGGCCATGGCTTGCGATATCGGCGATGTCGGGTCCACCACACGGCCATCCTGCACACCATGGAAGCAAAACAAAACCCTATCTGCACCGAGTGCCCATTGTAACTATGTAGGGTTCTAGGCAAAGTAGAATATGAGGGTGCAGCCAGGCTGGTGCACTGCCTTCCTACACTATGGTGTGCCCAATGCCAATGGTGACCTCCTGGGGAAATCACCACTGGTGGTGTTGTACAGTCAAATTTATACTGTGACTGTACAGTGTAGAGCTCTCCTCGACAAGCAATACTAGCAGTTGACACAGCCAATGGTGGGTACTGTTGTTTCATACAACTTGGTCCTGGTGCCAGTGGTGGTAAACCAGAACTAGTGTGACTGTCGGCATGACAATGCCGTTCTATGCTGTTCTTTGGACGTTTGCAATGGCGCTAGTGTATTGTAGCGTCGGATTTTTATTTATGTTCTGTCATTTGCTGCCTATCCATATCCATAATTACTTCCATAAGCAAGTCCACAACGACTTGGCCCTTTTCTCGAAGGACTCTTACCGATTGTAGTATATGATCGACCCGTTGCAACTACAATTACTTGCATGCAATTTACGCACATATTGCTTGCCACCTACCATAGAATCGCAAATGAGAAAGACGAAGTTGGGCATTTTCGCTGCCACGACCAGCTCGTTCGCTATCAGCGCCACGAAGATGTATCCGAGTAACTTTGCCATTCTGACAGATAGTAGAACATGTAAACTTCTTCTCCAAAACAGCTCGCTTCTAACCGTTGTCTCCTACATGTATCTGAAAACCAAGAACTGCGGTCGGTTGGCTTCTTCTTATGTCCTCTATCGCATATCGCATTATATTTATGGCTATGGGGGCTCGGTTGCGGAAAATGATTGATGAGGCGGGCGCAAAACTAGCACGTGATGTCAAGGACTTAGTATAGTAGACCTACACCTGTAGATCTACAGTATTACAGTACAGACTCTCCACTGACTCCAGAACGCAGAAGGTTTCACGGTAGGTCTACAGACTATGTAGATCTAGACAAATCTGTGAGCCGAAGCGGAATATGTTGCAAGGACAAGCTCTAGTCGACTCTTGCCCGCCGTAATAATCTTCTGCTCACTACCATGGCATCCATGCATCCCCATGCATCAACAGCAGTCTGTTCAACCTTGCCACCGTTCCAAAGCAGGACACCTATATAAAATGTATACAAAGGCAATTCTCTCCCATGTTTTTTATTTTTTTTATACGAAAGTCCGCTATATTCCCGAATATGTGCGAGAAGTGGTGGCGGGGCCAGTAGTACTGGGGCCAATTCAAAAAATCGACCTCTAAAATACATGCCTTGACACATGTTGGCTAACAAGAATTTTTCGGTGTTATTTGATAGATAATGTCTTCAAGAGTATCTTGGCCCAGTATGGCGTGTCCAATCGCGTCCAAAGGTCCCGAAATCACCCTCGATAGGAATACAAAATTGCCGAAAAAACTAAGTTCTCATCGGCTATATTCAAGCATTTTCAAGACTTTCTCGGTACTATATTGACTGGACCTGGGAGTTTTTTTACCCTTTTATGTGCCAGGAGCTATAGTAACACCGTACATACACAGGATGCGAACCGACGCGCACACTGATTTTGTGCGAGAGTTGGAAAGATTGAGCATCAAGTAGTGTAGTTGTGACATACGAGAAATGCTGTTACCTCGTTTGGACACTTTCTTCAAAGTTTTGCATTGACTCGCTGGCGCTTTTGCTGTCGGAACGTCCACGAATGGATCGATGCTAAATTCAGCAGAACCTTCATTGCAATGTCATCTTGGCTCCCCGGAAAAGTAGGCATGATTCCAACAAGGAGCAGCACAACAATTATGTGTGGAAAGCAGGGGAAAGTCATCATAGCTTGCCAAGCCAGTTGTAACTATTCATAGGACTAATCTACAATCGTGGAAAGTTTCAGACCTGGCTAACTTCATCGGGCTGGAATGAAGGCTGGAATAAAGGCATTTACTTTGTGAGTACTGCTGCACAGGAAGTGTTATAGTGGATGAGCGTTTGATTCGAATCTACAAGAGCGGCTAGTGTTAGTACCATGATTTGAACACACCGACCGTGGTGATCAGCTACCATTTTGCACAAAGCCTATTTACCAGCTCAACAGCTCTAGGACCGTTGAACTGCCTTAGGAGTGCCATGCTGCAGTGAGAGGGAGTATCTATGTGGTGTGGAGTGTTACAAAAACGAAATCCGAGTACCTGGAGGTAACTTATCCCAATATGCAACACCAGCAGTAGAAGAATCAGTTCTTGTCACAGAATTTGATGGCTGGGCCTAGGCAGTGTGAAACTACAGTTATACTTATAAAACACTAACTGCAAGAAAGAGTCCGATGTCCAATGTCATGGCTTCTCTCCGACTCCTATACTGATCACGGCACGTAGTTGATGCAATTCAAGAGCGGCGGTGAAGAGGGAAAACATGTTCATATAACACCTCATGTACTAGTGGCTAAAGAATTGTCCCTGACTGCAGGGCCAACAGTGATGGTGTAGGTGGCGGAGTAGAGATGGGCTCAGCTGTGCGGCGTAGAGTTTCCAAAGCTCAGACGGAAGAACAACTTCAGTTAAAGTGAAACACATGGAAGCAAAAGTATTCGCATCACAATGTTGGGATTGATCAGCTTTTTAAACTGCAGCTATTCACATGTGAGCGTTGTCCAACTGCAGCCTTTAAGTCTTTTCAAAGCATTTAAGTATAGTGACAAGCTAGCCAATGTTTGGACTGGTTTAATATCTACTAGTATGCAAAGGATTTTGGTATTTTCATTTTCATCATTTTTTCGTTACAGCACTGCCATCGCATACAAGTACAAGTAGTGTGGTCCTTCTTACATTGCTGCGAGATCTATCGTATTATCTACACGTACTTTGAGTAAATTAGTTCAGGTTGAAACTGTCCTACAGCACTTCTTTCCTTAGACTCTGACAGTTTCCTACCACCTCAGTTTTCCTTCTCCTGTTAGTACTTGGGTTACAATACCTATTCTCTCAGTTGAAGTGTAACGCCGAACCGTCTGACGCTTCTCTCGTGTTTGCAGTCTGATAATTATAGTAATGCATGCCTGTAAATAGTCTCATGTACCTGCTAGCTGCACATACATGTACACGTACCTCAATGCTAACATTCGATGCGACATGTAATGTACATGTACATGTCCAATAGCCAAGTTTCACTGCACTTTGGAAATTTTGTTTTGACACTGTAAAAGAACAGTACTTGTCGCCGTACTGTATCTACTGCTTATTCTGAGCAAAATGAGGTGCTACTTGGCCATATACGTGTCAGTAAAAATGGATATAGGAGCAAATCTAGTTAGGTTGCCATGGTAATAACGGCCTTTTTCTATTTTGATGTTTTTCACCATGTTCGGACACAATTCGGCAATCGAAACCTATGCCATCGTGTTCAGGAGGCAAAAACCATCCGGGAATGATCATAAAATCCATGTTAGCAAACATGTGTCAAGTAAAAGTGAGAAATTTCAAATGGGCCCTAGGACTACAGGCTGCTCTGCCGACCTCAAAGGTCTCGGCGTCTACGCAGACAAAGCGCGCCATAATGCAGTAAAACCATGAAGAGGGGATCGGGAGGAAGAGGGGAAATGAATAATAGTGAGAAACAAGGACAATGGGTACGGGTAGATGGTCGTGAGAGAAGCAGAGTGAAAGATAACGTCACATTGTGGTAAGGGGGGGGGGGGGGGAGGATGCTAGTGAGGCACTGGTCTAAACCGTTTCATAGGGCGTCGGTGGCTGCTTGCCAGTTCAGGTGCAGCAGATACTTGTTGCATTTTTCCTTGAATGATTGGAGCTGGCTGGGTTGCGGCCGTGCTGGTAGAATGGTCGCTGGTAGGCTGTTCCACAAGGGAATCAGTGTCTGCTCCAGCGCCGGGTGAGCCGGGTAATCCACCCGGTTGGGCGGCGCTTGGACCCGGTTGAAAATATAGTACTGGGTCACCTGGGACCCGGTTGGTCCTTTACACTTTCGAACTTTGAAAGGACTGACTACATGGCTTGTATGTGTCAGATACTTCTTCTTCTTTCGTAATTTTCTAGTTCCTGTCCTCTCTTTTCTAAATGCGGCTTTTCCATTCGCCTTTATATCATTGGGCCTAGTTCCCGTTTATTGTCCGAATTAAAATAAACCAACCAACCAGTTTAAAGCATTTGACTCGGCTGGTGAGACAGCGCCAGGTACATGTGTACCCGGCTCCGACCCGGTTGAAATGGTTGCGCCAGGTACACGTGTAGATCTACCCGGCTGTCCTACAATCCTAGAGCTGACACTGGGGAATAATGCAGTCTGGGAAGGAACCCTGGAGGCTGCTACGAATGCGCACGGGCAGCGTCGACTTGAGCTGGAGCGGGTGGCAGTGGGCAGTCTCCGTGGCTAACCTAGTGGATCGACCACCCACTGGGCGGGGATTGGCTGGAGGTGGGAGGATGGGCTTCAGGGGGCTTGTTGTTGGAAGACAGCTTGAACGTGAACGAAAGCGCAGCAACCAGTCGGCGGTGTTTCAGGCTGGGGAGCCAGGCGCCTGGGCCAATCGCCTTCAGTGCCTTGTGCTGGATTTTGTCCAGTCTGGATGTACCTGACCCCATCCACACCAGGCAGCAGTATTCCATTGTTGGCCGCACGAAGCCTTTGTAGACTGCCGTGCGGCCGCTGGAGTCCAACAGGGGCGCAACCTTTCTCAGGAAGTGTAGGCGTTGGGCAGCCTTTGAGGCCACGGCCCGGAGGTGTGCTGCGTAGGACAGTTGCGAGTCGAATGCTATGCCCAGAAGTTTAATTTCCTTCTCTTCAGGAACAGTCACTCCATTGAAGAGTACTGGTGGGAACGCTGGGGGAGGCTTGCGGTGGTCGATGATGAGGGCCTGAGATTTGGATGGCTCGAAGGTGACCTTCCACTTGGAAGTTGGAACCCCAGTGGGAGACGGCGTCCACTGCTTCCTGGAGTTGTGCTGCAGAGTCGGATATGCTGGCGGTGGCAGAGATGCACTGATACAGTGTCGTGTCATCTGCATACGTGGCAAGCTCAGCACCAGCAGGCAAGGTGTCCTCGCAGTCATTTACGTACAGGAGGAATAACGTTGGTCCAAGGATGCTACCTTGTGGTACCCCTGCTTGGATATGGTGCAGGGAGAACTCTTGGCTTGGGGATGTAAATGTATACAAATGTTTTGGTCCAAAGCAGGACTGTCCTGCTCAAAGCAGGACGGTTGGGCAGCATGCAACAGTCCTTGAGACAAGTACAATAAAATAAGCAAATGGTGCACCAACAACAGGTCACTACTGGGAAGATGACAAACCATAGCTTAGTGGTAGAGCTTCGCTGGCATAAGCGGGGTCCCTGGTTCGAATTCTGGGGGTGACCGGCAATTTTCAGTCAAATTTTCTTTAGGTTTCAACTCCCCGAGGCTCAAGCGCTCAAACATACAAGTACCGGTACACTACATGTATGTTCACTAGTTGAGGGAATGGAAAAGGGAAAAGTCTGAAGAAAAAATTGACTGTCACCGCCAGGACTCGAACCTTCGCTTGAGGCCAGCGCGCGATGCTCTAACCACTGGATCCCGAGACGCATGGTCGGGGGAGGTAGGCCCAATTCACCAGCACGCTGCTCCCGCTTCCCGCTGTATTGTCATGTTGTTGTTGTTGTTGATTTTTATTTTGCTTCGCAAGGCCAAACGGGCAATGGTGCCCAATTCTATGGAAGCGAATTTCAAAAGGGAGAAAGCTACGGGGAGAGAGAGAGAGAGAGGGAGAGAGAGAGAGAGAGA